CATCCTGACCCGTGAGGGAGTGGGCCCGCCCACCGCCCCCCTGTTCAATTTCCGGCGAGATCCGGCGACTCCGGCGAGATCCGGCGAATCCGGCCAGCGAGATCCGGCGAATCCGGCCTCAACCTCATCCTGTGGCCTTCTCTGGTTGCCCCGTCAGCCCCCAGAGGCCTCGGGCCCTGCCTCGCACGGCGCCCCTCCCTGGGACACCTCTGGCGGACTTCAAAGGGAGCTCAATCGAAGACCACATTTTGAAAAAGGAGCCGCCCTCAACCTCATCCTGTGGCCTTCTCTAGTTGCCCCCTCAGCCCCCAGACGGCCTCGCACGGCGCCCCTCCCTGGGACACCTCCGGAGAGCCTCAAAGGGAGCTCAAGCGAGAAGTCCATTTTGAAAGAGCTCCCGCCCTTCAAGGCAAGGCCTCCCTTGAAGAATCACCCTTCGGGTTCTGATGGGCGTGCGGTTCGGGGCCGCCTTAGGTTCCATGTTATGTGGCAGGGTGTTGCCGTGCTGTGCCGTGCCAGGTGCTGTGCTGTGTGCGGTGCTGGGCGCCGTGCCGAGAGCCGTGCGTATGCCGTGCTGGGAGCTAGACCGGCTCTCGATTTTCGCACCAACCACGTGGCACGTTGCCCGCGGCAGCGGCGCTTGCCACACCCCGTGACCTGGAGATGGGTATCAGGCATGGGGGATTGCGCACTTGGTTGGGAGGCGGGGCCGTGTGGTCCGTAAGTCCCATGGTGGCCTTGCGCCCGCTCACCCTGGAAAACAAACCCAGTGGCGCATGTCAGCCGACTGGGCAGGGGTTGATGGTCGGGAAGTTTCGCAGTGGCGAGCGCCGTGCCGAGAGCCGTGCGTATGCCGTGTCCGCCCGCGTCCGAGGCGAGATCCCAAGTACCGGTCGCGCCTGCGCCAAGTCGGGCTGGCCTTGCCCTCGGGCCGGCCAGGGAGCGCGATATCCCCCCTCCAGCCGCGCAGCGCGGTCAAGGGAAGGGGACGTGGGCGGCGTTTTTCCGACAGACACACAAACATGGGCCTTTCACGCGTGCGCGCCGACATAGGGCGCCGCATGTGCCTGGTCCAGCACGCGCGGTGCCCCCTGGGAGGGGTTGCGGTTTTGCCGGATTGTGAGGACGCTTCAGAGCGGAACGCCACTCCACATCCTTCCTGCTCCCCCACTCATTTCAACCCACGCCCCCCTGGGTGCACATTGCCGGCGCCAGCGCGAAGATAAGAGGCACCTGGGGGGGCGCCCCGTTCCGCGAATCCCACTGCAGAGCGGGGATCCCGACCCCCCAATGGGATTCGCGGAGCGGGGAAGGCCTTGGTGGGCCGAAACGTTTTTTTGGGGAGGGGGGGGCTGCCCCGTTCCCTCGGATGGGCACAGCCTCCCCCTCGCCGGCCTCTTCTCCTTGATGTCCCTCCCTCTAACGTAACGCGCCCACATTTAAGTTAGTGTATATTGTAAATTGCACTCTGGGAGCCGACCCTGGGTCCTTGGCGGAAGTCTGGCGGGTTCCCATGGAAGCTGGAGGAGGTGCGAGTTTTCGGGCTCGACGAAAGCAGAGTATATACAATTCCGTTTAGTTATGTAAACGGCTGCGCCGTTCCGCCCCGTAGGAGAAAGGCCGCACCTTCCTCAGGCGCCCGCTTGGGGAAGGAGCGGCCCAAAGGCTGCTCAGTGGCCTTCATTGCCCACCCAACGCAAACAAGTGGGAAGGTCGAGCTGGCGCCCCGCGCTCCTGTGACACGATTGCGTGTTTGGGCGCTTTTGGCGCATTTCGGGCGTCGGCGGGGGCTTCTGAGGTGGTTCAGGTTCAGGCCACGAATTCAGCTTCGTGGGCCACCAGCTGAAAGGGCAACCGAAGGTGGGGGCCAGGTACCTGTTTTCATGGTGTCAACGCCACACATTCCTTGGGGCACACTGTCAGAATCGACTGCATTCGGCGACTGGGGGCAGCCAGGCTGGCTCTCGATTTTCGCACCAACCACGTGGCACGTTGCCCGCGGCAGCGGCGCTTGCCACACCCCGTGACCTGGAGATGGGTATCAGGCATGGGGGATAGCGCACTTGGTTGGGAGGCGGGGCCGTGTGGTCCGTAAGTCCCATGGTGGCCTTGCGCCTGCTCACCCTGGAAAACAAACCCAGTTGCGCATGCCAGCCGATTGAGCAGGGGTTGATGGTCGGGAAGTATCTCGCAGTGGCGAGGTGAACCGATTTTCCCCCTACCCCCACGCCCTCTCGGTTTGAGGCAAGTCGTTGGGCGACGAGGTAGCTGACTATCCCTTGATCGTCGGTGCCGCCTGCGGGCGCCCCCCCGGTCCAAGAGGCCGAAGGTGACGGTTGAACTCCGATCGCCGTTGAGTTCTTGGTTCCACGACTCCACAACTTCCTTGTCGTCCCACCCGCCATCGTTCAGCTGCAGTGTCCTCCCGCCGTCGCGCTTTTTCCTTCGGCTCGATGGCCAAGCGCCGTTCAGTGTAGCTGTGCTCAAGCTGACGGAACAGAACCCGCGGGAACTTCCGTGGCCTCGCTTGGCAGATGGCGGACGGTTCAAGCGGCAAGAAGTTTTTGAATGTGAGCAAAGCAATTTGGGACATCGTTGACAAGTTCTTCGACCCAGCGAAGGTGCTCACGCAGCGCGGGTACGAGCTCATCCAAACGTACAGCATCAGGGCTGCACACCCTGTGCTTCCTTACGTCATGCATTTTTTTGCAATGATGTGCGCCCTTAGCAACGGCGCCAAAAGCGCGTGGTTCCCCCACGCTCACAGCCCCATGTTCTTGATGGTCCTGAACGTGACTTTCGCCCAGACGAGAAAGTCATCCATCACCGGGAACGGCGACAGCTTCGGGGACAAGCTGGACCAGGTCGCTCGGGATGTTGTGGCGCAGAAAGTCCTGGCAGCAGCGTCCGTCGTAGGAGATATGCAGGGGGCACCACCACGTGATGAAGGGGGCCGTCGTCGTCGGAATCCTGACGCCGCGGACCCCAGTGGTGCAGCGGATCCCCCGCGGCAGCCGCAAGTTGCGTCCTGCGTCCTGCACGCGGCGACGCCCACAGAATTCTTCCACCGTTGCGCCGGGGACTACCAGCAGGTCCCAGACGCGGAGAACTTCCCCGGCGTGGATCTGCGAGGCCGTCACGTGTACGGCGTCTTGGTGAACCCTGACGAGGCATACGACATGCTCACGAGTTTCAACTTCATGGACGAGCAGAAGGCGGGGAAGAAGCAGACCACTGTGAATGCCTTCCAAAGTGCGCTCAACAAGTTGGCGCAATATGGGCAAGCATCCAGGGCGACCAAGACTGCTGGCTCCTACGGCCGGGTGGACGCGCCTACAGTGTCTGTGGGAATTTCAGGAAATGTACACTTCTCGACGTACGTGCCCATGGAGCGCGGGGAGACAGGGTCTCGCCACACTGCCGCGAAAGAGAGGATTCTCATCAGCACAGGGCGCCCTGTGCAGCCGCACGCCCCCTTGCCAGACACGTACGCAATGCCCGCGGGCACTTTGCGGCACAAGTGGGTCCCTCTGGTGGCCGAAGTGGCAGAGGCGCTCGAGCTGGTGGCCGGTTCGGCGTCCCCCGACCAGGCCGCCCGCGTGTGGGCCAGGGCCGCCAGGCCGCGCGAGGACGACGCCGCTTCCTCTGAGACGGTCGACGGGAAGGTGTACGTTCCCGACGCCGAGGGCTTCTCGGTAACCTTGCCAGATGGCGTGCAGACACAGGTCCGCTTCCAGCGGGACGCCTCGGCGCCCACGGGGTTTCGCCCGGAATGGTTGGTCGCCAACAGATCTTTCCCGATGCCCGCGCACCACTCGCTAGAGACGTGCGTGCCCCGCGTGACCACGTATTTCGAGAAGCCGCACGTAGTGTTGGAGCCGACCGTGGAAGCGCTCGCCCTGCACCAATCGTACCAGGGGGCGTTCAATGTGATGTGCTATAAGCAGCGAGAGGCGGGCCGCGAGTACGCCAGGGCCGCGCTGGGTGCGGCGCCGTGGCACTTGGGGGAGTTGGCGTCGGCGCTGTGCATATTCAAGTGGCTTACGCCATTCCGCCGACCCACAGAAGGAGTGAGGGCCACGACGATCGTGGAACATATCGAAGACGCCTACGGCGAATCACCGCCGCCCCCTGCCTTTTTGGAAGCGCCTATGTGGCCGAACGTTGAGGCCAGACCTGCCAAGCTATCGAACCACGTGTTCCCCGAATCGGTTTGGAAAGCCTTCGGGGAACACGTGGGCATCTTGAAGGTCATCTTGGCCGTCTTGGAGGCCTCTTGGGCAAGCTTTGGGCGATCTTTGGGGCTTTTTGGGCCGTCTCGGGCCAGCTTCGAGCCAACTTCGGCCATCTTGGTGGGTTCCTGGCACGTCTGAAGCCGTCGGAAGCCGTTTGGGGGGCCTCTATGGGCCGACTTGGGGCCCGCTTGGAATGCTCCAGGGCCGTCTTGGAGGCCATCTTGGGCGTCTGGGAGGCCATCTTGGGCGTGTTGGAGGCCTCTTGGGCCCTCTTGGGGCCCTCTAGGGGCCATCTTGGAGGCCACTTGGGCCATCATGGGGCTCTCTTGGGGGCCTCTTGGGCGATCTTGGGGGCTTCTTGGGCCGTCTTGAGCCGTCGGAGAGCCGAAAAGGCGCAAATGCCAAAATCCTTCAAAAACCAACGGAAAATCAATGATTTTGGCCTCTTCGGACTCTCCTGGAGGACCTCTTGGAGGCCTCTTGGGCCGTCTGGGAGGCCTCTGGGGGGCCTCTTGGGCCGTCTTGGGCCGTCTTGGACTCTCTTGGGCCGTTTTGGAGGCCGTCTTGGACCGTCTTGGAGGCATCATAAGGCCATCTTAGCCGTCTTAGAGACCATCCTGGCCGTCTTAGAGGCATCTTGGAGGCCATCTTGGAACCGTCTGGGGCAGGAAATTGGGGAATTGAGCTCCTGGGCATCCTTTCCGGGTGGCCGGCGGGACGGGCCGACGCCCACTGGGGAGTTCTTTTAGAAAAAGAACCAAAACCAAAACCTGACAACTCATCCAGCACGCCGTGCACCCCTGCAAGCAGGGGGCGGCGGATCTATTGGCCCTCGGCCCATCCCGCCACCGTGCCTGCGTGGTGGGTCAGAGGCCTCTTGACTGTTTGTTGGAATCTCGTGGTAGGCCTCTCGGGGGCTTCTTGGAGCAAGATTTGCAACCTCTTCGAAACCGTTTTGGGGCCTCGTGTGGGGCTCTTGGGGGGTTCTTGGGGCCCTCATGGGGCCTCCTTGGGCCCTCTCGGTGGGGGAAACTAATATGTTCGGTTCGCGCCCTCCCTCTCTTAGGCCGTCTTGGTGCCCCGTTGGGTTGTTTTGGGCTGCTCTTGGACCGTCTTAGGGCCCTCTCGGGCGGTCCCCAGGCCGTCTCTGGGGCCTTCTGGACGGTCTTGGTCCGATCATGGGGGCCTCTTGGGCCGTCTTCGGGCGTCGGAAAGCCGAAATGGCAAGAGCGCCAAAAATTTTCAAACATTAAAGAGAAATCAATGAGCGAGCATGGGCCATGGAGGCCATCTTGGGCGTCTTGGAGCGATCGTTCGGCCATTCGTGGCTCTCTTGGAGCGTCTTGGGGGCCTTTTGGGGTTCTCTTGGCCCGTTGTGGGAGCCATTTGGAAGCTCCAGGGCCACCCCGGGTGCGTTCAGGAGCAGGACCCCCCATTGAAACGTTTTTTTGTCCCCCGGGGAGGGGGGAAGGGGGAGGGGGACAGCCAAATGTTTCATGTGCCTTTTCACCCCAGGCAACCGGGGGTCGGCGGATTCGACATCTTCTGCGGCAGGTACGACGACACCGAGGAGTACACTTCGAGGAAGATTGCACCGCAGGAGGAGCACGTCGAGCGCGCGGCGTCCCTGTTGAAAGTGGTCCACTTGTTGAAGGTAGCCGCAGCGAGCACGGAGGAGGAACCGGAGCCAGCGGCAGCGGATGCAGACACAGCGGAGCAGCGCCGGGTGGAGTTCGCTGCGTTCCTCGCGTCCTCGCAGGGCGCGTGCGACGGCCTGTGGTCCGCGAGCCAGCACGCGCGCGCGGATCGCCCGCCCGTGGATGCACCTCCTGCTGCCAGCGAAGCCAGCGCCCACGGCGGCGTCTCCAGGGGCGGGGCAAGGGAGGGGGAGCTTGCGGGAGATGACGACGCCGTGTCTCTCGCGAACTCACAGGAGGAGCCCGGGTCCCCTGGCGGCGAGATTGGCGACGTGAGCGCCGACGAGGCGTCTGCCCAGGCGGCCCATGAGGGCGCCCCCGGGGGTGGCCCAACGAGCGGCCCTGGCATCCTGGTGTTGGAGGACGTGAAAGGGCTGGACTTCGGCTACGGGGCCGATGGGAGCAGCGTTCAAGACGGCCCCATTCCACGCCGCGGGCCTCGCCGACCGCAACATCATGCGGAGGACGCTGCTCGTAGGCACCCCGACCGTCACCATGCGCGCCGCTTGCGAGCGGATGAAGTCATCGAGGAGGGGAGGCCAGCGGCCGAAGCACCTCCCAGAGCAGACGTGGCTGCGCGTGATGGAGGCTGGGCTGCAGGGGAGCCATGCGGCGCGCCTGGATGGTCGCGAGATCCATGTCGCGCGCATCCCCGGGGGCCAGGCGGACCGGGTGCTTACCACAATGCTTTGATGCGTTTGTGCGCCCTTCCACTGCGAGACCTTGTGGAGGCCATGAAGAAGGCAAAGGAGAACAGCGATCGGAGGGAGCGCGGTCGGGCAGGGGCAGTCCGCGTTCGCAGTCGCAGCCAGCGGAGGGAGTCATGAGTGCCCGGTCGGACCGGGGACCCGAGATGCGTAAAACGATATTCGCGCCGGCAGCCAAGCCTGTGCCGCCGCCGCTCTCCCCTGGGGCGGGTGGTGCAAAGTGTAAGCTTTGCGGGCGTGGGCAGGCGGCGAGGTATGTGCGCGCGGGTTTGCGTGGCGTCCTCGTAAGCAAGACTGCGTTGGTGGCACGCATACAGTATATGGTTAGGAACAGTCGGATATCTCAGCGTCCTCGTAAGTAGGACTGCGTTCGTTGCACATGTGCAGTCACTGTTCGTCGCGCCCGCTATGAAAAAAGGAAGGCCCCAGCAGTCATGGTTCGTTGGCGGCGCCCGCCTGTCAGCGCTACGATGTCGCTACATGTCAATCTTTTCGTCCGGATCTTACGGGGGCCCCTTCGGGGCGCTACGGGGGCCGCCTTGGAGCGCCCCCGTTGGGTCTCTATCGGGCGATAGTGGGGCACTCATCGCACAGAGCTATTTACTTGCACGTTAAGTGTGGGACGGTTCTAGGCGCGTGCCCCGCGGGTGCCTTCCAGGACCGCCCCCGGGTAGGAGCGTGCCCCGTGGGCGCCTTCTGCCGTCTTATGAACGTAGGTGTGCAAAGACTGTTGACCACGAGCGTAGGAGCAACAGCAGGGAGTGGCCAGAGGCAGCGGCAAAGCGCCGCCTGTCAGCGCTGCGATGTCGCCCAATATCAATCCTCTCGCCCGGATCTAACGGGGGCCCCTTTGGGGCGCTACGGGGGCCGACTTGGAGCGCCCCCGTTGGGCCTCTATCGGGCGATAGTGGGGTACTCATCACGCAGAGTTATGTAAGTGCACGTTAAGCGTGGGGCGGTCCTGGGCGTGTGCCCCGCGGGCGCCTTCCAGGGCCGCCCCCCGGGTAGGGGCATGCCCCGCGTGCGCCTTTTGCAGTCTTATGAACGTCAGTGTGCAAAGACTGTTGACCACGAGCGTAGAGAGCAGCAGAAGAGAGGGGCCAGAGGCAACGGCAAAGCGCCGCCGCCATTTTGGCTCAAGACCGTCAGATCGTCGTCGTCGTGCTTCCCTGCTGGGGCCCGCACGCCTGGCGGCCCCCTGGAATCGCAGGTTAAGAGCCTTGCGTTGTACCGCGCCGCATGCCACACAAGCGTTCTGCCGACAAGCAGTTCGAAGCTGCGGTGAAGAGGGCGCGGTACTTGGGCGCCAAGCACGAGTCCAAGTGCCAGACCATCCAAGCAATCCTGGAAGGGCGCCTGTCCGAGATCACCGTGGAGCAGGTCTTGGACGCCATCAGGGGGCTCGGGGCGACCGCGCGGCAGGATGAACCTGTCCGGCCCCCCCTCCGCCCAGGCCTCGTCCAGCGAGGGCCCGACGGAGAACCAGCGCCTTCCTCTGCCAGCGCATCCTCCCCGACACCTTCCTCTACCAGCGCATCTTCCCCAGCGCGTCCCTCCACCGGGACATCCTCCTCGAGCTCCGCCGGGGCCGCGCCCTAGCCTTCGGATGCTCGACACGGCAGGGGCGCCCGCCTTGCAGGTCCCAGCCTTTGACTTTTCGGCTGCCGCTGAAAGCCGCCATGGCAATCGGAGTGCTGGCCAGTGCGCTGCGTGGTTGCGGAGGACAGTGGAGTCTGGAGACCCAGCCTGTCTCTTATCGGGGCCTGCCCGTGACCATTTGGTTTCGGCCTTGGTCTCTGAAGGCGCGCGCCCTGACATCCAGTTTTTTGGCGGGGAGGAAAGCCCTGGCGATTTATTGCACATTTCGGACAAGTGCCCTGTGCGCGAGAAGCGAATGGTGAAGCGGCCAGGCTCTGGATCAGATGCCATCGTCTTGGACGTGGGCGGTCCCGTTTGTAAGACTCACGTCCCTTACCGCTGCAATTCGGTGGACTGTCCAAGGCGCGGTTTGGTACATTGGCACAACTACTACGTGGACGCTGGACGGCACATTTTCCACGGGGACGTTGCGGCCATGAAATGCATCATGCTTACCGCGAGCTTCGGGATCACAACGGAGTACCTGGAGGCCTTGCACGAGCGAGTGCTGAGGGAACACGTATCTTTTGCCGGCGAAGCTGACGTGGCGCGCGCCCGTGCCGGTGGAACTGCGCTGCCAGCCAACTTGCGGAAGTACCTGTCGAAAGGCTGGTTCGTGTGGCGGTTGGCCAGGCGCGTCGGCGATTCGGGCCCTGATGACACCGCTGTGATCGACTTGATGCAACCACTTGAAGACCAAATCAAGGACACGTGGGACCAGCTCGAATTAACGTTCGAGCGTAGAACCGCAGAGAGGGCCCGAGCAGCAGGCATGAAGACCGATGTGGTTGTGGTGGATGGCAACGCCAAGAATCGCAGGCTGACGTGCGCAGCGCCTCTGCGCCACTGTGTGACGTGCCCGCGCTTAGCTCGGCGGGTGTGCGTGGGCTGCCCCCGGACGCCGCTGCTGGGCAGTGCGTTTTGTGGAGAGCACGGCGTGCCCTGCGAGTGCCCGGCCGAGGACTACGAGGTGGTGGGGCACGAGGCGCCCGAGGCGGGGGGCATGGGTTTGGACGGCTCGTTGAAATTGTTGGTGCGTGAGCGCCGGGGCGAACTCAGGGAGCTGTGGGTGTCGGAGTCGGCCGTGGACCCGGGCATCGTGAACGTCTACTTCCACGGTCTCGGGGAAGATCGCAAAGCGGCCAGCGCGGGCCGGCGGGGGGCAAAGGCCAGGTGGAGACGGGCGGCGGCCAGCGAGGTGCGTCGTCAACTCGACGCCGCGGCCCCTGCGTGGGATGCCCTCACGCCGGTGGAGCGGGAGCAGCTCCTTTCGGAGATGTCGTGCGAGGCCGACCTGAAGGCCGTGGCGTGCAACACCCATAAGGAGGACGACTCGCAGCAGGCGAAGTGCGCACGGACCGCCGGCGTATTATGCGCTTGCCTGTCCTCTGGTATCGTCGTGTCCATGCGGGAGATGTTCGGCTGCGAATCCTTGAGCCAAAGGTATCCAGTTGCCTTCGGCCCATCCCGCCACGATGCCCGGGTGGTGGGTCGGATGGCTCATGTGTGTTGGTGGTGATCTCGCGATTGGCCTCTCGGGGGCCTCTTGGACCGTCTTGGGCCGTCTTGGGGCCGTCTTGGGGGCCTCTTGGGCCGTCTGGGGGCCTTTTTGCGGGCCTCTTGGGTCATCTTCGGGTGATTTTGGGGGCCTCTGGAATCGTTTTCGCGCGTAGGAAAACCGAGAGGGCGACAAGGCCACATGCAAGAAAAAAACGCAAAGTAATAACATGTAGTTTTTCGGACCGTCTTCGGGAGAGCTGTTGGGGGCTGAGTGGGGCTTTTGGGAAGCCTCTGGGGCCGTCTGGGGGCCATCCTTGGCGTCCTGAAGCGATGTTTGGGCCGCGCTGCGGCTTCCTCAAGCTTGTGGGCTCGTTCGGGGGCCCTCCTAGGCGAGGGGGCCGTCCCGAAAACACACGCGACGAATTCCATAAAAGCCCAGAAACGCGCGAGAGCGCGTGGAACTGGGGGGCAGAGCCCTTCCCGACTGAGCAGTATCAGGGCTGCATGAGCTCAGGGATGCAGGAGTCTTGGGGCATTCCACTGCGTGCTGAAGGCACGGTGGCGCATTTGTTTATTTCTGCGATCGCAGATACGTTCCCTGAGTTGGCTGTTGTCGTTCACGACGACGCGTGCCACTTGCACAGGTTCACGGAGCGCCGGGCGTCCGATTCCCCGCAGGCCGCGCGTCTGGCTCCTCCAGCGATCTTTTACATCTGCGACGCTTTTCACATGAGTGGGCCCACCGATGCGTGGTGCAAAGCGAATTGCAACCCAGCCGCCCCTCACTTGAAGACGCTGGTCGAGGGCGTGCGCACGTCCGTGTGCGAATTTACATTCACATGGGTGAGCCAGTACAAGCATCGAACGAAACACATGAGCGAATGGGGGTTTAAGTTTTTCTTGCAGGAGATGTGCATGGCGCACAACGAGGCTCTGTTCAAGGGTTCGGCTCCTCACCTCACCCACACGAGCGGGGACTGAACTCGAAGCGCGGTTCGGTTGTGGCACGGCTGTGCCGCGCCCGTTTTGGAGATTGCGTCGAAAAAATAATAGCTTTCGCTTCTCTCCGGGGGGCCACGAACGGGGTCCGCGGTCCAGGGTCTGGAGTCCGGGGTCCAGGGTCTGGGGTCCGGGGTCCAGGGTCATGGTGTCCGGGGGCCTGGGTCCGGGGTCGGGGGTCGGATGTCCGCGGTCTGCAGGGTCCGGACCGTCCGGGATCTGCCGGTGCCACCGGGGCCCGCGGTCGGGGTCTTTGCCACGGTGCGCTCTAGCACGAGTTGTTCTAGTGCCAGGTGTACTCTAGACATGGTGATACTGGGGCCGGGGCGGGGCAGGGCCGCGCGAGCTCAGGAGGGGCCCTTCGCGGGGTCCTCCGCGGCGACGCTTCTAGACCGCCGGATCGGCGAGCGCTGCTCCCGGTGTTCCCACAGGCCGGCGGTGCCGCTGCGCCGGATGGGAGAGCGGCCGTCGCCGCCATCCTTGGCTTCCGCCTCTTGCGGCTCCTCGGCGTCCTCCTCCTCCTCCTCCTCCTCCTCCTCCTCCTCCTCCTCCTCCTCCTCCTCGTCCTTCGGGTGCGGGGTCTGGAGTATGGGCTCCGGGGTCCGGGCCCGGGGTCCGGGATCCGGGGCGCGGGGTCCGGAGTCCGGTGTCCGGGTTCCGGAGTTTGGGGTCCGGTGTCCGGAGTTCGGGGTGCGGGGTCCGGGCCCCAGTAGACAACAAATAGATACTGGGAGTGTCAATTTGTGGCGCGCGCCGTGCGTAGCCAAATGACAACGAAGTTGAGTCGGATCGCGCGAAGTATGTTTTTTACCCAACAGCGAAGATTGATAGGTGTTTAAGGGCCGAAGCAGAGCATCATGACTCCCCAGGGGGGTCTGGGTGGCATCCGGGCAGGGATCCGCGGAAGTCGATTTAAGCAAACAGTTGCACACTTCGTGGTCTTCGAGGTCCCAGAACTCCATTCCCGGGCCACATTCTGAATGCCCGGAGCCACCTGTAAGCCATTTCGTGTTTTTCGAGTTCCCAGAACTCCGGTCTTGGGCATGATTTTGAATGCCCGGAGCCAACTGTAGGCCACTTCGTGCGCTTCGAGTTCCCTGAATTCCATTCCCGGGCCACATTATGAATACCCGGAGCCAACTGTAACCCATTTCGTGGTCTTCGAGTTCCCAGAATTTCAGTCCTGGGCATGATTTTGAATGCCTGGAGCCAGCTGTAGGCCACTTCGTGTTCTTCGAGTTCCCAGAACTCTTGTCCCGGGCCACATGTTGAATGCTGAGGCAGGCTGATGCTGAGGCTGAAGCAGGCTGAGGCTGAGGCTGAAGGCAGACTGGGGCTGAGGCTGAAGCAGGCTGAGGCTGAGGCTGAGGCTGGCTGAGGCTGAGGCTGAGGCGAGCTGATGTTGAGGCAGGCTGACGCTGAGACTGAGGCTGATGAGGCTGAGGCAGGCTGAGGCTGAGGCCGAGGCTGAAGGCAGACTGAGGCTGAGGCTGAAGAAGGCTGAGGCTGAGGCTGAGGCTGAGGCTGAAGCAGGCTGAGGCTGAGGCTGAAGCAGGCTGAGGTTGAGGCTGAGGCAGGCTGATGCTGAGGCAGGCTGAGGCTGAGGCTGAGGCTGATGCAGGCTGAGGCTGCGGCAGGCTGAGGCTGAGGCCGAGGTTGAAGGCAGTCTGCGGCTGAGGCTGAAGCAGGCTGAGGCTGAGGCTGAGGCTGATGCAGGCTGAGGCTGCGGCAGGCTGAGGCTGAGGCCGAGGCTGCAGGCAGACTGAGGCTGAGGCTGAAGCAGGCTGATGCTGAGGCTGAGGCTGAGGCATGCTCAGGCTGAGGCTGAGGCAGGCTGATGCTGAGGCAGGCTGAGGCTGAGGCTGAGGCTGATGCAGGCTGAGGCTGAGGCATGAGGCTGAGGCCGAGGCTGAAGGCAGACTGAGGCTGAGGCTGAAGCAGGCTGAGGCTGAGGCTGAGGCTGAGGCTGAGGCTGAGGCTGAGGCAGGCTGATGCTGAGGCAGGCTGAGGCTGAGGCTGAGGCTGATGCAGGCTGAGGCTGAGGCAGGCTGAGGCTGAGGCCGAGGCTGAAGGCAGACTGAGGCTGAGGCTGAAGCAGGCTGAGGCTGAGGCTGAGGCAGGCTGAGGCTGAGGCAGGCTGAGGCTGAGGCTGAGGCAGGCTGAGGCTGAGGCTGAGGCAGGCTGAGGCTGAGGCCGAGGCTGAAGGCAGACTGAGGCTGAGGCTGAAGCAGGCTGAGGCTGAGGCTGAGGCAGGCTGAGGCTGAGGCTGAGGCAGGCTGAGGCTGAGGCAGGCTGAGGCTGAGGCTGAGGCAGGCTGATACTGAGGCAGGCTGAGGCTGTGACTGCGACTGCCGCTGCCGCTGCGACTGTCATCGCGAATGCGACTGCGACTGCGAGAACAGCAGAACTCTACAACTGGATTCTCATCTGAATCTTAAGGGGAATGCTTCCATATATGCTTCTACACATCGCTGTTAGGTTGCTTTGCCGGGATAATTTTAGATACTATGTGCACGGCGCCTCAGCGGGAAGCTCGAAATGTTATGAGTGTCTACTCCTGTCTTGGGCCGTCTACCTGCAGGGGTGTGCAGGGTCCGGGGTCCGGGGTCCGGGGTCCGGGGTCCGGGGTCCGGGGTCCGGGGTCCGGGGTCCGGGGTCCGGGGTCCGGGGTCCGGGGTCCGGGGTCCGGGGTCCGGGGTCCGGGGATCCGGGGTCCGGGGTCCGGGGTCCGGGGTCCGGGGTCTGGGGTCCGGGGTCCGGGGTCCGGGGTCCGGGGTCCGGGGTCCGGGGTCCGGGGTCCGGGGTCCGGGGTCCGGGGTCCGGGGTCCGGGGTCCGGGGTCCGGGGTCTGGGGTCCGGTGTCCGGGGTCCGGGGTCCGGGATCTGGGGTCCGGGGTCCGGAGTCCGGGGTCCGGGCGCGACCCGGGCGGCGGGTGGTCCATGTGTGGATTTGCCTGGAGTGGAAGCGTGATTTAATCAATGCATGACTGGGGGCTGAACCTCAGGAAGGTCCTGGCGACGGCTACGAGGACGCTGGCGACGGCGAGTTTCAGTGATCAGAACGCTCGACGGCCACAACGTCGGAGCCCAGAGGAGCAGTTAAGTAAAGTTCTAGAAGGAGCCGCCAGAAGAAAGTTCCAGAAGGAGCCGCTTGAGTAAAGTTCTATAAGGAGCGCCTGAGTAGAATTCTAGAAGGCGCCTTCCCCTTCCTGTCGCGCCTGCAGCGTAGGTCGTCCTCGGAATCCTTCGCTGCCTGTAATTGATATTATTCAAGGTTACAGCGGTCTGACAGGACCCGTGCCAAAAACTCAATATTTCCACCACTCGGATCCGTCCGGAACCAATTGGATTCGCGTGGGAGCTGTCCAACAAACATCGGATCCGTAGCGGATCCGTACCCGGATCTGCCGCACGAGGCGAGGTTGACACCCCCAAACGGGACATTCGTCAATGTCTGCGGGGGACCCAGCATTCGTTTTTGGGTGCCCAACGTTGCGCCCATCGCCCGCGACCTGCCGCCAAATCCCTTTCCCCAGACTGGTTGGGCCGACGTCCGGTGGCATGGCTGGGCCGAAAGTCTGGCACCGTCGTGCGATTTGAGACCTCGGGCCGACTTCTCAAATCGCACCAGGTTTCCTGGCGGCCTGTACTGTAGGCCTGCCATTCAGGCAAGAGCCCTGATATGAAAAGGAATTTCTACGCATCGATCCTGACATGTGACTGCCGCGGCAGCAGGAACATCATTTTGACTGACCGAGATCGTTCCGCGTGCAATGTACAGATGACGAGCTACAGTTGAAGACTTCCTTCTTGGAAACCACTCTGCGGGACGGGCGGGCTAGCGGTACGACATTGTCAGGGGAGGGGGAGAGTGTCAATCATAATGTGCAGGTGTGACGGCGGAGCGAGGAGAGGAGAAGAGCTAGAAGAAGGATAGGAGGGGAGAGGGGAGAGAGGAGAGAGGAGAGAGGAGAGAGGAGAGAGGAGAGAGGAGAGAGGAGGAGGAGGAGGAGGAGGAGGAGGAGGAGGAGGAGGAGGAGGAGGAGGAGGAGGAGGAGGATGCTCCCCCGCCCCTTCCTCTGGTCACAGCGGGCACCCCTGCGGAGGGGGACCCAGGGCGCCTCCGAGGGCGCCGGCCCGACAGGGCCGGTGGACCCGAAGGGGGGAGGACCCAGCAACGGACCCACCAGCCCTGCCATAGCAAGCCATGCCTGCCACACGCCCTGCAGCCACAGCCGCCCTCCACCTGTCCCACCTCTGCGAATCTCTTCGACGCTATGCTTATGATGATGCTGTGCCTCTCCTTCATCCCTCCCTCCTGTCTTGCGGGGCCTCCGGCCCCTGATATGTGTTTTGGTCTATTCCCCCAGGGGGGCCCGACCGGGTCTCCTTTGGGGGGAAGCGGCAGCGTGCGGAGAATTCGATTGCCGTCATTGCCTCAGGAGGAGGAGGAGGAGGAGGAGGAGGAGGAGCAGGAGGAGGAACAGGAAGAGGAGGAGGAGGAGGAAGAGGAGGAGGAGGAAGAGGATAACGAGCAGGAGGAATGACGGAAGGAATGAAGGAAGGAGGGAGCGAGGAGCTCTCTCCCCTTGCCCCGTCCGTCTTCATCACTCTGCAACAATTACACAATACGAATACTACTCTCCTCTCTCCCCTGGTGACGTCCGGGAAATGAAATGTCCAGCCCCCTCTCCGCGTATTGTTTTTTACAGGATTTCCGGGAGTTGGGTTTTCGTGGGATTTTTGTTGTAGTGCTGCTCTCGCTGAAGCGCTGGCCTCATTTTCGCGCTTCCGCTCTTTCCGAGTCGTGCTCCCGCTGCAGCGCTGGCCTCATTTCCGCGCTTCCGCTCGTTCCGAATCGTGCTCCCGCTGCGTTTCATTATTTCCAGCGCAATGCCACGGCAGAGGCCCCAAAATCTAGGAAATGCCCCCCCGAAAAAACAATCAGAAGTGATTCCATATTCGGTGCCGATTCGTTTACTTTTTGGGTCGCAGAAGCTCCCCCCACTTTGGGGCGTCGCCACGCCATGCTATGTCAGGCTA